GTCAAATTCTCACACCACATGTAAATTTGGGGACCGGTATTTGTGAAATAAGATTATGGACTGAAAAAAACAAGGTCACTTGGCAAAACTTCCCAGACTCGGGTGTGGCACCTAAGAACTTACAAAGAAGTGGCAGGAAACCACCTTTTAGTTGAATTGCCGGCTTAATTGCTGTCACTCAAACACAATCTTCTCAGTATGTGGTGGGCATGTGTATGCTTGTCCCAAAGGTGCTTTTTCTTTTTTTTCTCCAGACAAGTTTTTATTTATTTATATATAAATATTTTGAATACAGTGTATTGTCCGGGCATATCATTTTACGAAAGACAAAAAAAATAACACTTATATTGATAGTAATAATAATAATACAACAGAATAATTCTAACCATATGTGTAATTATGTTTGCTTCTTTATGTTCCTATTAATTATATTAGCATACTTATAATTATAGAAAACATTCATATTTTATTTAATCGTAACAATGCTCTTTCTTCATCTAATTTCTACTCTTGATAAAACCTATTCCACGTTAAATAGTATTCTATGAATCCTTTTATCTTTTACTACTGCTGATAACCCGGCGTTGCCCAGGTATTTATTTATAGGGGGGAAATATCCTGGCCAAACAGAGGATTATACTTATACATACTTATCTAATATTTTCTAGATTATATTTTCATCTGATGGGGTATGCATGTGTATACATCTCCCAAAGGTGTTTTTTCAAGAGCAACTGGACATTCTGGTTTTTCTTTGAAGACATTTCACTTCTCATCCAAGAAGCTTCTTCAGCTCAGAGCCATGACTTAGAATCTCCATAGACAGATAATCCTTGACTTGCAACCATTTGAAGGTAGAAAGGCACGGAGAAAAGTGACTTACGACCGGTCCTCACACTAATGACTGTTGCAGCATCCCTACAGTCACATGATCAAAATCCAGGTGCTTGGTAGCCGGCATGTATTTTCGATGCTGGCAGTGTTCTAGGGATGCAAATGATCAGCTGTCTGCAAGGAGTATAAATCCATTCCCCCCCCCACACACACACACACCATCCAGTCAGAGGTGAAGAAGCTTTTGGGATGAGAAGCAAAACGTCTTCAAAGAAAAACCAGAAAGTCCAGTTGCCTCTTGGAAATAGCACCTTTGGGAAAGTCATGACTTGGATGACTGAAGATCTCCATAGACACGTCTATGCATGGGTTAGCCAGAACCCGTCTCAAATGTCTGGAAGCCCTATTTTCTGGTTGTAAAATTATATGTAGTGATTCTTGCTGTTCTTATTAAATTATTCTGAGCATTCAGGGAAATGCTGTAACTCAGGGTTCCCCAACCCATAGGCTAAGGCCCACTACAGAGATGGTATTCAGCCAGTTCTGACAGGTTCTGGAGAACCACTCGCAGAAATTCTGAGTAATTTGGAGAACTGGCAAATAGGCTGGCCCCGCCCCCGCTGCCTCCCAGTTGATCTTCTTTTGTTGCCCTGAACAGGAGAATGGAGCTGAAAAGCAGGTTAGTGGGCTGGGGAGCAGAGGTGGTATTTAGAAGGTTATGACCAGTTCTGGAGAACTGGTAACGGAAATTTTGAGTAGTTTGGAGAACCGGTAAATACCACCTCTGACTGGCCCCACCCCGATCTGTTCTCTTCCTCCTGAGTCCCAGCTGATCGGGAGGAAATGGGGATTTTGCAGTATCCTTCCCCTGCCATGCCACGCCCACCAAGCCAAGCCAAGCCAAGCTCCCACCAAGCCACACCCACAGAACCAGTAGCAAAAAAAATGGAATCCCACCACTGGCCCACTACCACATCATGGCTCATTCAGCACACGTGGAGGGCATTTGCACGCATGCCTGCCACTCACATAGAACCACTCACTCTCCCCCCCTCCGCCCAGGCCACCAAATCAGAAAGGTTGGGGACTGCAGCTGTAAATGACACAATGGCAATGGCTTGTCCCAAATTGACAACAAGTAACTTCAAATGAAATAATTATAATACATTTATTTCTGTATTTATTTATTCCTAGTTATTTATATCCTGCCTTTATTATTTTTACAAGCAACCCAAAGTGGAAAACATATTCAACACACCGTCCTCTTCCTATTTTCCCCATAACCACAACCCCTGTGAGGTGGATTGGGCTAAAAAAGAATGATGGGCCCAAAGTCACCCAGCCAACTTTCATGCCTAAGGCAGGACTTGAACTCATGGTCTCCTGCTTTCTAGCCTGATGCTAGGATTATTATGCTATTGTTATAGGTATATAACAATCATTGTTACGTTGCATTTATATTTATTATACACATATATTTGACATAGCCATTTTATGTTATTATGAACCATTTATGTTGTTAAGTGAGACATTTGTTAAGTGAATTTTGCCCCACTTTACTACCTACCTTGCCATGTTGTTAAGTGAATCACTGCAATTAATAAGTTAGTTGGTTGTTAAGTGAATCTGGCTTCCCCATGGATTTTGCTTGTCAGAAGGTCGCAAAAGGTGATCACATGACCCTAGGACACAGCAAGGGTCATAAATATGAGTCACTTGCCAAACATCCAAATTCTGATCACATGATCATGGGAATGCTGGAAAGGTTATAACTATGAAAAATCGTCATAAATCACATTTTTCAGTGCTGTTGTAACTTTAAAGGGCCACTAAATGAACTGTTGTAAGTCGAGGGCCACTTGTATACCAATATTTCCAGAATTTAGCAAGGGTTACAGAATAATAACACATTATTAGCACACAATTCAAACTTTAAACCAATGAAAAGTACAACCTTTTAACTGTACAACAAATTTAAAATCTTCCATTCCTGCGTAATTGGAGGAGTGGGTGGGGAAAAAATTGAATATGTGAGCTGCCCTTTGTTATAAATACTCCCGGTGAAACTTCCAACTCTTACAAAGACTAGAAATAAGTGCCATCCATTATAAGTAAAAATAGTCCTTGATTCTCAACCACCACTGAGCCGATTTTGGTAATAATTTGTGACAATTATGAGTGAGTTGCCATATGACTGAGTCCCAATTTTATGACTGGATTCTCTTCATGATCGTGCTGATTGGCTTACCGCAAAAAAAACAGGTTGGTCACATGATGACCCACTCTACTACCTTCACAACCTATGACCGTAATGGGTAGGTTCCATTACGGTCGTAAGTCGAGGACTACAGGTAGTCCTTGACTTACAACCACAATTGAGCCCCAAAATTTCTGTGGTTAATTGAGACAATTGTTATGTGAGCTTTGCCCCGTTTTAACGACCTTTCTTGCCACACTTGTTAACTGAATCACTGCAATTCTTAAGTTAATACGGCAACAGGTGGTTGTTAAGTGAATCTGACTTCCCCATGGACTTGATTTGGATTGGCCTATTGACTTCCTCTTTGACTTCAGATAGGTGCACTTTCTCAGCCAGCAGTCCAGCCAGATGATCCGACTTCAGAATAGTTGACTTGAGACAGGAATTTTGTCAGAATATTCATGAACTGGCAGAGACATGGTAACAAGGTCAGCCAATGAATAGACATAGCAACAGATCAGCCAATGGGAGCTGAAACAGATTGGAGCCTGGGAGTGGTTTAGCCCAGCAACTCTGCATGCTGCTTGTCACAAAAGGGGATCATACGATCCCGGGACACTGCAACAGTCATAAATATGAACCAGTTGCCAAGCATCTGAATTTTGATCATGTGACCATGGGGATGCTGCAACGGTTATAAGTATGAAAAATGGTTGTAAGTCATTTTTCACCATGCTCACTAATGCAGTGTTTTTCAACCTTTTTTGTGCAAAGGCACACTGTTTTCATGAAAAAAATCACGAGGCACACCACCATTAGAAAATGTTAAAAAAATTTAACTCTGTGCCTATATTGACTATATATAAAGTAATTCTCCCACGGCACACCTTACACTATGTCACGGCACANATCAATTTTGTTGTATTTAAGTATAATGACCATAAAAATTATACTTAGACTTATCAGCTGGGACTCAGGAGGCAGAGAATAGATGGGGATGGGGCCAGCCAGAGGTGGTATTTGCCGATTCTCCGAACTACTCAAAAAAAATTTGAGCTCAACCCAAGATAAACTTTTCTCTCAACTTTTTAAAAGCACTGTGAGCATTTCCAGTGCAGGTGGACAAACAAACCCTTAAGGAAACAATTCAGTAGAGTCATCACACTGCAGCAGCACTCCGGACCTCCTAGGCCTTCCCAGCACTCACAAAGATATGCAGAAATTTGAGGATACGCTTGTGGGTCAGGATGTGCAGGGCGTTCCCCGAGATGGGATCAATCACAGGCAGCCGGTGGATCTTATTCTTAATCAAGGAATAAACTGCATCAAAGAGGCTAGGAGAGGGAGAAAGGAGAGACATGAAAAGGCCTTGTGATGTTCCTAGGGATGGACTCGGAAACCTTGTCTGTTGCTGTTTCTTTTGCTCCCCTCTGGGAGGAGGTTTCGGTAAGTATTTCTAGCAGGACTTGCAGATTCTGTAACAGCTTTTTTCCCTATTCCATCCATCTGGTAAACTCACAAGATTCGTTTCTCTCGCCATATGTATATACATCTGAACTAGACTGTGTTGTTTCTCTGTGTCGTATAACATATGTGGGCACATGCATAATTTTGTATTAATTTATTTATCCTGTCATGTTTATGTTTATATTAGAGGTGGAGACCAGAGGTGGAATTCAGCCAGTTCGGACTGGCTCAGGTTAACTGGATGCTAATTTTACATCTGGTTTGCCAAACCAGTAGTTGCAAGGACTGGCCTGCCCCTTCCCACCCCTCCCTGGAGTCTCTATGCGGCCAGTTTTGGATGCCAGGTAAGTGCAGGGTCCATGTGAAGACTCTGGGAGGGTGAACAATGGACTTTCCGGAAGTCCAGGAACGAGCCTGTTTCTGGTCTCTGGAGGGCCTCCGAAGCCCGGGGAAGACATTTTTGCCCAACCAGAGGCTCAAGGAAAGCCTCCAAAACCCAGGGAGGGCAAAAACGCCCCGCCCGCCATGGTGCAAGAGGCCACACACACCATGGCCACAGCCTCCCAGCAACTGGGCAGAGAACCGGTTGCTAAAACCTTTGAATCCCACCCCTGATGAGTTATATGCAACATAATTTCATTTTAATGTATGCTGATTAGTGTACATTCAAAGTGGCCATAAAGTTATTCTAAGCTCTAAGTCTAAGTCTCCTCCAGGGCATTCAGGAGCATGGACAAGCTTGCTTCAAAATGGAAGGAATATGTGAAGGAATATAGCAGAGTTATTTCTCTGTTATGGAAAGAGGCTTGGAGTACAGCAACCATTCATTTTTAACAACCGTTCGGAGTTGCAACTGCTGTGAAAAAAGTGACATATGACTGCCCTTCGTACTGTTGACTGTCACAGCATCCCCATGGCCACATCATCAAAATTTGGGTACTTAACAACCGGCATGTATTTATAAGGTTGCATCATCCATGGGCTGGCTTCCAACAAGCAAAGTTAACAGGGGAGATCAGATTTACTTAATAACTACATGATCCACTTAATAACTGTGGCAAAAAATATCATAAAAAATCTGGGTGAAATTCATTTAACGATTACCTTGCTCAGCATTGGAAATTCTGGTTCCAGCTGCGGTCAAGAACTTCAACTAGGCAGAAATACCGGTAAGTGTTTTTTTGGTTAAGAGATGATTGGCAAAGCATCAATGTTTTTTCTGCCTCTTATCAGCTGATAAAATTATCTGAGATTCCACTAGGGTATCTCTGGCTCTCCTGGGGGTGGGGGGAGGGTCAGATATCCCACTTTATCAGACTTCTCTCTGATTTCTCTTTGACAGCAGCCACAAAATGACAAGGGTTTTGTGCTTTGTGGCAGAGTGAAGTTTTTTTTGCTTCAGATGGTGCAGTGGTGAAATTCATTTTTTTTTACTATAGGTTCTGTGGGCAAGGCTTGGTAGGCATGGCAGGGGAAGGATACTGCAAAATCTCCATTCTCTCCCCACTCCTGGGGGAAGGATATTGCACAATCTCCATTCACACCCCACTCTGGGGCCAGCCAGAGGTGGTATTTGCTGATTCTCCAAACTTCTCAAAATTTCCATTACCGGTTCTCCAGAACTGGTCAGAACCTGCTGAATTTCACCCCTGAGATGGTGGAAATGAAAGTTGGCAACTCTCTTACAAAAAAAGGAATGTTTTCCTGCTCTTGCCTATGTGGGAAATGCTGGACTTACCTGTGGTTTGGAGAAATGTGCACCAAAGGCTTGAAGGAACCCTGCAAATACACCTCTGGAGAGAAAGGGAGACAGAAGGATAGCATACAAATGCAGTTGATGATATAATAAGAGCAGATTCTATTCTATCAACAATACAAGCTGAATTTGCCAGATTGCCTTAGTTTATCTGCATTAGAATTTCTATATATTTCAAAAAACAATTTAGGATAATAACAGACCAGCAGCAGTAGCTTATAACAAAAACAAGACTGTAACGCCAGCATAGAAAAAGTGAAAGAAGGGTGTAGGTATAGAATGAAACTAATAGCAATAGCACTTAGGCTTATATACTGCTTCACAGTGCTTTACAGCCCTCTCTAAGTGGTTTAAAGAGTCAGCATATTGCCCCCAACAATCTGGATCCTCATTTTACCAACCTCAGAAGAATGGAAGACTAAGTCAACCTTGAGCCGGTGAAAACAGAACGAATAATCATCATCAGTACATAGCCAAATAATACCTACCATTTGCTTAGTAAAAAAATATTGGACAATATAAAACTGAATTTAAAGAATGGTTTTAATCTAATAGTAATGCATGTAAATGGACATAAATATAACATTTACATACCGTATGTGATGATGTTAACTAATGTTTAAAAAAAAGTTAAACTGCATTTATAATATTCAATTTGTCTGAAGGATATGCCACTTACCTCTCCAAGTTTCAATTTTGTGCCCCTCAATCTCATATATCTGGACCTGGAACAAAGTAATAGTAGAGAATAGGACAGATACCATTGCTGATTGTGTGAGGTTACAATCACTACTACTATCACTACTTGTCTCCAGAAGTTGTGAATGCTCCAACATTGGACGTTTTTAACAAGATGTTGCATATCCATTTGTCTGAAGTGGTGTAGGGTTTCCTGCCTAAGCAGGTTGGACTAGAAGACCTTCAAGGTCCCTTCCAACTCTCTTATTCTAAATACTTTCCAAAGCTTGAGGGGGGAGGACTCAGAGCTTACCTACTGTTTAGTATGGGAAAAACACAGGTAGATGTATCTTTCAAATATTTCACCAGAATTTAGATGATCTTTCTAGACAAGGTAAATCTTTATAAGAGTTCATGCAGGGTTCTGAGCTACATAATTTTTAAAATGTGATTTTAAAAAAACTCAGTGGCTTTGTAGTTTTGGGGTAGACTGTGAAGAAAATTACAGCAAGAAGAATTATCTGTAATGGGAAGCACCTTTGCTAAACTTTAGACTTATTTCACAATTCTACAGGACAAGAAACTGAATGATAGTGAGAAGGAGCATTTCCAAGGTTTTGTTTTCCAGCTCCAAAAATGCTGACATTGGCGTGAACAACGATTGAAGCAAGGCTTAATTTGAAGACAGACTTGTTATTCACTAGTAAGTTACTAATATATAAAAAAGATGAAGATATTCAGATTTTACAGTTCTTGTTGGTAAACCATCTTTATTTTATATTTTTATATAAAAACTTCCCCAGCCATTGAAGGAAGATTCAAAAGCAAATACACTTTCCTAATTTACAGTGCTTATTATATTTTCAGTGAACCTGTGGTAAATCAGATTACTTGTGGCTAATAAAAACCCATGACATTTGGTGGGAACTCAGTAGAAACAAAATGGGAATAGAATTTTGTGGAGGCTCTGAATTAGGACAGAGCTGGCTGGAACCTATAACTATAACTATTCCAAAGAAATCACATTCTCTGCTCTATATGACCTGGGTTTCAGCCTAACACTTTGTGGGAAACTTCGAAATGAAAAAGATTGAAAAAGACATAATAAAAATATGCTTTTGAGTGCCAAATATTTGATGGCTGTCTCATAATGTGCATTTGCTTTCTGTTGCTTCAAGTGGTATGACCAAAAGATTTCAAATTTTAAAATATGTATTTCAGAATATTTAAAGCATAAATATTAAACTCCTCAAAAGTATGCGTTACTTAAAACACATTGTTTGTGAACAAGATAGACCCTCATTTTTTAAAGCCAGCCATTCAATGTGCACTTCTCAGTATTGGCTTCTTGCATATGGAAGTGAGATGAATTGGATAACCTTAAAAAGTCTCTTATTGTTCCCTTGAATGAGAACCCAACAGTGTAACTTTACATTGCTTTTAGAAATGGCTCTATGGCTAGTTGATATGAAAAGACAAAATATGTTGACTCTCACTAAATATGTTGAGTAGACATGTGTTATATAATTATAAAATTTTCTTCCAATTTCTGCTTCTAAAGTGTTTAGGGACACTTCAGATTTTTCTAAAATGTTTATTTTTAAACACACTAATATTTCAGTTGCATTTACCATGTCAATTAATATTTATTTTAAAGGTTGCTCACAGGCCAATGAAAAACAATTTGTGGTGTGTCCACATTCTTGGTTTCCATTTTAAAACTTTCGTTGTTCACCTACCCATTTTTCCAGCTGAAAGGCTCAACTCTTAGAATCCCAAATCTGGAACAGCTCATGCCTGCAACTTAATTTTGGGTGATGCTCCCAATTTGCTTCCTCTCTTCTTCTCTCCAGTCCCCTGAACGAAACTGTCTAAAGCCATTTTGCTCCAGATTTGAGAAGATGTTAAGGTACTGGAAAACTCACCAGAGGAGATCGATAATAGCGATGTAAGATATTAATAAAATCAGTGATGGTCAGCATACCTGCAGGAGAGGAAATAAAAGAAAGAATGAACGGCATTTATACACACCCAGAGTTTGCAGGAAATGGGCTGCGGGTTACAAGCTACAGGAACTGACTAACAGAACTTACATTACATGTGGCTTCTTATAGTCAGTTATGCCTCTTTCCCTTGCTGATTTCCACATCTCTACACTCCTAGTAAGTTACCTCTTCCTGCTGGGGGAAGAGTTTGAATGATCTAACCAGGGGTATGTTAGAGCTCACAGGCTACAAGTTGCCTAAGGAACCCATGACTGAAATTTGGAAGCAAAACATAAATTTGGCAATTTCTTATTTCTACTTAAATAAAATAAATGTATCCAGTTTCTTCTAGGCTTGACAGACCTAGTTTGCTAAGCAAGCATCTTGCTTCCTCCATCCTCCAGTTTTGTAAATACAATATTTGCAATCTTTTAAGAGTATGTGTGTGTATGTATGTGAATTTAAAATGTTGCTTGCTCCTACCTTAACTGAAACAGGTACCAATGCATGCGGCAACAGAACAGACCCAAAATGTAAAATTGATATTTTAAAGGCTTAAAGGTGCAATTTGAGGTATTGGTGATTGCCTTTAAAGTCCTTTATGGCATGGGTTCAGGTTACGGTACTTGAGGGACCGTATCACCCCACTGGGATTGACCAGTACCACTCATGTTGGCAGAGGAGGAATGCTGCGGCTCCCGTCAGCCTGATTATTCCAGCTGGTGGGGTCCTTCTCTGCTGTTGCTCCTGCCCTCTGGAACATCATGCCCCCCACCTTCCGATGAGAGGTTGGCCCGAAACCTATTATATTTTCATAAGGACCTAACAACGTGGCTCTGCTAGTTTAATGAAAAGGAGGACTAAGGGTGACATGATAGCAGTGTTCCAATATCTCAGGGACTGCCACAGAGAAGAAGGAGTCAAACTATTCTCCAAAGCACCTGAGGGCAGGACAAGAAGCAATGGGTGGAAACTAATCAAGGAGAGAAGCAACTTAGAACTAAGGATAAATTTCCTGACAGTTAGAACAATTAATCAGTGGAACACAGCTTGCCTCCAGAAGTTGTGAATTCTCCAATACTGGAGGTTTTTGAGGAGATGTTGGATAACCATTTGTCTGAAGTGCTGTAGAATTTCCTGCCTAAGCAGGGGTTTGGACTAGAAGACCTCCAAGGTCTGTTCCAACTCTGTTATTCTGTTCTGTTCTATTCTATTCTAAAGATGGGTAGCCAGTAAATATTATAAATAATAATAAAATAAATAATAAAATAATGATATTTTATAAATAAAATTATGCACAAGTTTTCAGTAAGGTGAAATTATGATGTGATTTATAGCCTCCTCAAATGAAATTGCTACAATGAAAGTAAGCATCGAAAATAGCCTGCTCCAGTTCCAGGAAAATGTGCCCAAATATGTTCATAGCCAGTTCCTATACACCATCATCATTTTCCTTCTAGGGAAGACAGAATTATTCTTTTTTCAAATATGACTGCGAATGGCAGCATCCTATATGTTTGATTCCATGCTGGATTTACTGAGGGGATTACTGCATGTTGTTTTACATGAGGTCAATACTGCCAGTGCTGCCTCTAAAAGAAAAAAGCATTTGTGCCAGGAAGGCGTGTAATCTCTCTGGCAGCCATAGCACAAATAATCCCAGTGATGAAGAGCCCAGCAGCCAGATGGGTAGGGGTGGTTCTGCAGCAGGCCAACTATGACCTCTGAAGATTCCTTCTCCATAAAGTATGGATTATGTGGACGAGTGATCTGATGCCAGCTTAAGAAGGAAAACACTATGTTCACGCCTGGCCATTTTAACAACTTTGATTTGTCTCTGCAGCAGGCTGGCCGTGAAGTGAAGGTCCATTGTGAGGGCATGTTCTTGGCAAGCATTTCATGCTGTGGCAAGCAGGACTTGTGGATGAACCTTAAAAATGTCTGCATGTATCAAATTCTGCCTCTTTGACTCTCCTTAATACATCTTGAGATGGGTGGCAATCCCAATTCTCCTCTCCACCTTTGCCATGCCCAACTGTTGCTGCGTTCAACCTCTGCTGTTCATCCAGTTGCATCACTTACCCACAAAGCACTGCTGCTTGCTGTCCCAAAGTGGAGCGGCTCGTACCCCATTAGCCACCATGGCCAAGAATGCCTTTTTAATCTGGAACAAGAGACAGAAGCCTGATTGACTGGGGTTGTATTCTGTGCCCCACCCTGCACCCTGGGTTCGTAGGGAATAACTGATTTAATCTTGCACAAGGGACAAGGAAAGACCTACACCAGGGATTGATTCTTTATTCTTCATTTCTTTGCTTTGATAATATAATAGAAGATGTAGTTAGGAAAAGAGGGATCATCTTACTAAAACTGGTAAAGTGGTCACCTCTAACACAGCATTCTGGTCAAGTCAAGGAATTCTCATGCACAACAATCAGGAACAGCTATACTCTTGTGAACCAGCTATGCCATTGTTTTACAGCTTTTGCTCACATCAAATTAACCAAATGCTGGTCATGTTGATGGGCAATATATAAATAGGCTCAAAATGATTCTTTGCAGAATAATTTCCAGTGAGCCTGAGATTGTATCAAAGATTGTGGCTATATTCGGTCTCTTTATAACAACGTTCTCATGTGCAATCTTTCTTTTCCCAATGTGAATGAGGAACAGGTTTTGTAGCAGCATAAAAAAAAAGATGAAACCAGGATGGCAGCAAGCCCTCTATTTTGTCATCCTAGCTACCTAAACACTACTGTAATACACCTTTGTGGATGTCTTTGAAACTATTCAGAAGCTATAGATGGTTCAAAATGCAGTTACTTGTCTGGTTATACTTGATGTACCCATGTGGCACCACTATTGCAAGAGCTGCATTGATTGTTGGGAAGCGTCTGGGTGAAATTCAAGGTGTTGCTTATAACATACAAAGCCTTCTGATTATCTAAGAGGGCACTTGCTTTTGAGTAGAATACTTCATTTTGTGGAAAATGCTGAATGGTAGAGCATTCTGCAAGGGTATCAACAAGAGAAAGCCATAAACATCCCTTCTCTCTTATGGCTCCCCATCCCCTAGGAACACATTCAGAGACAAAGATGACTCTGTCATTGATATTTCAGAAGGTGGTCAAGGCTTGGCTCTTCCATAAGACCTTTGGGAATAGAATGGAAGTGTGAATATACAGCAGCTACCCCCAATGTTGAAAAGAGGGTGAGCCTTTATACTATTTGATAAGGCATATTTTTAAACCTAATTTACATTAGAGCATTATTAGACACTTAAAGAATCTTTGAACCAAAGTAGCATATAAACTCAAGTAAGTAAATAAATAAATGTCTCTCAGCAGACTCAGACATCAATATAATCAGATATCAATACTCCTTCCTCAGTCCCTCTCCAAATTACTACATGGTTCACAAAACCCCTGTATTCTCCTTACCTGCAGAGTGGTCTCAAACACAACCAGTTTGGAACTGGTGGGAATAGCATCATAACAGCGATGACTCCGCATGAACTGCATATAGATTTCAGCATCTGGGCCCAGGAACTCAGGACCACCAAACCCAAGAATTTCACAGTCAAGGGAAATGACATCATCATCATCTTCCTGTTTGCCCTGTTTGAGCTTTGTGTCCTCTGATGTTACTCCTGTGATGGGACCCAGGACTGTGCCTTTGTTAAACTGACCCGTATCTTCTGAAATCCGTGTGCTGGCTGTGGTATTCCGATCCTTAATCCTACCTTGGGACATCATGTCATGGCCTGCTCCACTGTTGCTGTGAGCTGTGTCCAACTCTTTGGTCTCTGAATGGGTTGACTTGAAATCAAATTCAGCAGCAACGGCATCTGCAGCTGTCACTTTGCCAATGTGTGTTGCAGTCTCAGCATCAAACACAGTTGGCTCTGGATTCCACCTCTCAGTTCTGCCATCTGCCACTACATTTGTCATAATCAAGTTCACTTCTTTGTCACTGGCAGTCAAATCCTTGGCTTTCTGTACAACAACATTGGCTTTCAAAGCAGATTTCTCAATGTTCAGAGACAAGGCGGAGCCTAGTGGGCAAGCATTGTAAATCTAAACATTTAAAAAATCTTTGACAAATGAAAACAAGTCATGCTGCCCTTTTGAACCAAGCTAAACTTCCTTCTACCTCATCAACTCTACAGCTATGATGTTTACTCATATAAAGCTGCAAGCATGCATACGCTGGGTTGAAATTAATAGTGCAAAGAAACAAACCTAGTCTTGCAGCAATTATGATTATACTGACCTTCACTCACATATACTATATATTCCACCTGACCATACTCATATTAGCACTCACTTCATTAGAATAAGCACTCACTCCATTTATTATTATGGTTTGTCCCACAGTCATTCAGATGTTCAGAATGGATTTGGCATTTTTATCTGCCTATTGAGCCCTTCCCAAAGACCTGGGATAGGCAGATATGGATGTTTGATAGTGTTGCAGATATTGTTGTAGGATATAAGATGTTCCAAGTAAATCTGTCTTTTGCAATTGACTGATGATTGACCATACTGACAGTGTTCAATTGATGCTCCAATTATTTTGGGATTGCACTCAAGGTGCCTATTGCCAGTGGTGCAATTCAACTGGTTCTATCCAGTTCGGGTGAATTGGTAGCTGTGGCGGTGGGAGACTCCACCCACCCACCCGGACGTCAACGCGTCCCTTTTTTGATGCTCTGCACATAGTGGAAGGTACTGCTGTATGTACCAGTTCGTACATTTGCAAACCGGTAGTGAAGGTAAGTTGATTTCACCCCTGCCTATTGCTTTGCTTTATTTTGCCACAGTTATTCTATTTCTATTTGCAAGTCTCTGTATTTTGTAATCTTCTCCAGTTCCTTTGTTCTGCTGTCTCCAAGTAATGTTATGATGGTTATCATTTTTTACAAATAACAGAAGACCATAGATGTACTGACATCAGATTGTCTGTAGGCATTCTCTTACTATAATAGGACAGCTATGGAATGTAGTAAGAAAACATCTTTTCACCAAAGAGAAGAAAGTTCATCTAATTGCTTCTAAAAATTGACAGTGAGGGAGCTGTATGCTTATGAATACATGCCTATGAACAAACTTATTAAGTATTCCTTGGGGGTACAATCATCTATTCAGTGATTGTTCAGATGGGTCCTCATTGTTCTAGCCATCACAGCATCTCCACAGACACATGATTGCAATCCAATGGTCAGCACCCAGATCATGATGATGATGTTGCAGCAAACTGTGGTTATGTGATCCCAATATCCCATGCTAGCTTCCCATAAGCAAAGTCAATGCAGAAGCAGCAGAAAATTGAGTCACACGAGGTCCTCACTTAACAATCTATACAGGCCTCATTTTATGATGGCAACTGGGATTGCTGGAATTGTCGTAAGCAATGTGGTCACATGATGTTGCACTTTATGACATCACTTAATAGCAGCAATTTCAGCCCCAATTGCTGTCGTAAATGGAGGACCAGCTGTAAAATCTTCACTGAATACCCTCATAACTACCCGGTGAGATAGGGCACCATTATTCCCCTTCGACAGAAAGAAAACAGAAGTTGCTAAATATTTCAATTTGGCCAATGTTACCCAAGAAACCTAAATCTGAACTTAAATTTTGAATCCAGTTAAGGCCAAATGCCAGTTGATTTATTTGAAGTGGAGTGTGATTAAGCAGCAACAAAGCCAAATTTCCTATATGAAAACTACAAGATTATTTGAGATAGGGGGAGATAAGCATTTGGATATTGGAGAGATCAAGAGAGCAGTATTAAGCTAAAAAGAAAACATTTTTGCTACATGGGGTTGCCACATAGTGCTAAATAGTGGATACTCTACATAATATGATTAGCAGTTTTAGAAGATCTCCAAAGCAGCCAATTAATATCCAGTTAATATTCCCTGGCACAAATGCCTTCAATTAATATCAGTTGTGTTGAAAGTGATCACTCCATCAATGGAGAAATCCAAGACACTACTCACCTGTTTCTTCCTGATGCTGGAGGCCATTGTTCAATGATGGCACCTGAAGGACCAAAGAGAAAAGAACAGAGTTAAACAGGGGTTTGTTACATCTTTGCTTAGTGCAGCTTTTAGGATCTGAATGCTACAGACCTGAACCATATACAGGAAATCTACATGATGAGAGAACATCTAATTTTTTCACCCAGGTATGAAACCAATCCAAGTTAAAGAGTAATAGGACTTTTTTTTTAAAAAAAAAAAAGTGTCAGCCCTTCTTTATTTTGCAAATAAGCCTTTCGGATATTTCCTTACCAGTTGCATGGCTCTATTTCCTCCATCTCACTTAGGAAATATTGAACACAGAGGAGAGGATGGAAGCTTCAATCTTGGACAAGTTCATAATAAATCCACCAAGAAGGACATAAGGCCACCCAGACCAAGTTATGTATTCAAATCCTGTTAAAGGAAGCTATATGTCGTGTGTGTGTGTGTGTGTGTATGTGTGTGTGTGTGTGTGTGTATAGGAATATGTATATGTACATGTATGTGTATGTGTAGACTAGGAACTTTGGGCCCACAGGGCCTTGAGAAAAGTTCCTTCCCCAAAGATCTGATTCCAAGGCTCCCTCCAGAAATGGGCATCATTTTGGATGTAGCTGGCCGTAATGAACTATCTGTCCATAGATCATCTTTGGGAAGGAGATCCAGCCAATCCTTCATGGAGACTACACAGTAGACTTTTCAGAGCATCCACAATTCATTACGGCCACTCTGAAAATGGCACCTACTTTCAGGACGGCATGACAGGACTTCTGTGTAAGGAAGGCAGCATGATAGAGTTTATCTGTTTATCTGACAGGCTATTTATCAAAGACAATCTACAGAAAAGCTAAGTGGACCAAGTAATTATGGGGATGCGGAGGAGGATGTGGAACCCAGCAGGGCGAGAAGCAGGCCCAAGGTCTGGAAGGACCCAGAGGGTCAGAAAGGGGGAAAAGCTAGGCGGGGCGGGGATGCTGCCCTTTCCTACAGCTGGTCATAAAGCCAGGCAGATTACCAAGGGTCTGGGTTTTATTCACTTGCCCACAGGGGTGTTACAATAGTCATAGCTTTGGGCAAGGGTCACAAGTCTCTTTGTTCAGCACTGTCATAATTTTAAACAGTTGCTGTAACAGGCATGGGATTCAGGTGCTAAGTTAACCTGTCTTTATTTAGGCAGCAATGAAATGGTTAAACTAGTAGTTGATCAATCTGCTAGTTCAACCAGTTTTAAAGTATTGTGATAAGTCACTGGCCAAAATGACTCAAATGTGCAGACCTACATTAAAAGTGATAATTTTGGACACATTTGGCTCCCTGAGTTAGTTATAAAAATATATATCTGAGATATAGAAATATATTTCTGAGATAGAGCGTGCTTGATGCTACACAATTGTTTTAAAATGTTTCATTATTTCTAGTGCTGTTAAAGGGCACAAGAACTTCCATTATTATATTAGACTAGGCTGAAATATAAAACTCATGAGTTAAGAAGCACCTGGAATATAAAATTCTTTAAACGTACCAAGAACTTCTACTCACTATCTTTGAGTTAGCAGGAAACAGTACCTGAATGAAATTTGCCCTCCCTGCTAACACCTATTTTGCCATTGTTCCTTGGACTTCCCTCCAAGGTATTGGGTGATGGTGCCTAACGGATTTTACACCTTGAGGCCATTCTTGGATAGAATTAGAAGAAAACTTCTTTTATTTGATTTATATTATACAGGAGTTCAAGGTGGTGTACCCTCTTTTTCCTTACAACAATACTGTGAGGTTGGAACAAGTGTGGAAATGCCCCATTGCTAGGCACATTTATTTGACTGATAGGACATATATGGCTTCCCATCTTCAGCTGCCAGAACTCTGGGCAGTCCACAACAATAATAAAATCCACTAACACTCTGCCTGTCCCATCCCAGGCTTTACTGCTTAGATATTATATTCCAGTAGGGTCAGTTCTGCACCAGCCTCAGAAAAAGAGGTTGGGGGAGGTGGAGTAGAAAGAAAATGAAGGGGAAAATATATCTAGAAATTAAAACAAAACATAAAATCAGGCAGGGTTAGAAGGGATAATAGGGAGGATGCATCTCCAAAAATAAATACAGAAAGCAGGAAGGCGGTGGGGTGGAGGGTGGGAGTGGGGGTAGAAAGGAAAGGGGAAAGTTATGTGCACCCAATGAGAAAATTGACACACAGAATCGGTATTAAGCTACAAGGTCTTTCAGGAGCGGCAAAGCTGAGGCACATTTGGGAAGCAGGGGTGGAGATTCAGAGAAGTTCGCGTTGTGCAGTTGCTCCCCGTTGTACATAAATCTGCTTCAGGGCTGAACCTCGGCGACAGATTTGGGAGCTGAAGCTTGTAGCCTGGCAAGTCGTACGGCTATTAACCCTATCCTGGCCTTGCTCTCCGGGCAGCAGAAAGGGGGAGCAGAAAGTGGATGGCGATGTTGACGGCAGGATGTGCCCCGGGCCAACAGACAGACAGACAGACACAGACAGACGGATGTCATTTAGCGCGATCGCTGCGAATCCTTTCTCTGTGTGGGATGGGATCGATCCCGGAGGCGGCGACTTGCTGTTTGTGGGACTCACAGCCCCACGCCCGCCAGCGCCTTACCTGCTCCAAGGCCTGGGCCGCTGTCTCTTGCTCCATGCCGGCAGCTTCTATTTAAGGCAGCTGGCCCAGGCGGCTTTAGTATCACGTCTGCTGCGGGCGGGGAAGGGGGAAGAGAGGAGTGACAGCTGCAGTGGTGCCAGGAATCGTCCTCAGCTAGAAGCCATCCTGTCCCGAGCCGAAGGCACCCGGCTCTCTCTTTTTTTAAAACAGATTCTCTGCATCTATAGGTATTAGTCAGACGTTCAGCAGGAAATACTCCAGGCACCCCCTCTTGCTGCTGCTGAGGAAGTAGCTTTCACACCAGCCTGCTTCTATTTTTGTTTTGCACTCATCAGTACGTATTGCATCATCCAATGATTTTGTCAAACATTTAGATAAGCTACTACTGCGGTTGAATATTTCCTATTCAATGCACAATACTTTGTGCATGCTATCATTGGCCACCCCTGTGCAAGAGAATGGGGAGGATTCTCTTAGAAAGGTCTAATTCTGATGAACTTGAACTCATTCAAAAATGTTTCTTTCTGAATAAACTTTGATTTCAAAGGCTTTACCGTCACAGTTTGAACACAAGTCATGGCGTGGCTGTCAAGTATTGTGTGTATGTATGTATGTATGTATGTATGTATGTATGTATGTATGTATGTATGTATGTATGTATGTATGTGTGTATATATATATAAATGGATATCGCCAACAAATGCGGGTCACGTCGGTATGCTTAGTAGGGCATTGACTTTTCCTGCCTGCCTTATCCACGATTCCTGGCAAAATACATGGGAAAACCCCATTGGGGGAAAAACCCACTTAGGGTTAGCTCCCCATGTACGGCAAAAGGGACATCATCAATAGATTTGGAGCACATTGGTGTGCTTAGGAGGGCATTGACTTTTCCTGTCTACCTTATCCACATTTCCTGGTAAAATACATGGGAAAATCCCATTGGGGGGAAAAACCACTTAGGGTTAGCTCCCCCTGAACTCGTACAGCAAAATGGACATCGCCAACAAATTAGGGGTGCGTCGGTATGCTTACGAGGGCATTCGCATTTCCTGCCTGCCTTATCCACATTTCCTGGTAAAATACAAGAGAAAATGCCATTGGGGGGGGAAACCCACTTAAGTTTAGAGTTAGATCCCCATGAACTCGTACAGCAAAATGGACATTGCCAACAGATTTGGAGCGGGTTGGTGTGCTTAGAAGGGCGCTAACTTTTCCTGCCTGCCTTATCTACATTTCCTAGTAAAATACATGGGAAAATCCCATTGGGGGAAAAACCCACTTAGGGTTAGGGTTAGCTCCCCATGAACCTGTACAGCAAAAGGGACATCGCCAATAGATTTGGAGCGCATTGGTGTGCTTAGGAGAGTGGTGACTTTTCCTGCCTACCTTATCCACATTTCTTGATAAAATACTTGGAAAAATCCCACAGAAGGGAAAACCCACTTAGGGATAGGGTTAGATCCCCATGAACTCGTACAGCAAAATGGACATCGCCAACAGATTTGGAGCAGGTTGGTATGCTTACGAGGGCATTGACTTTTCTGCCTATCTTATCCACATTTCCTGGTAATATACATGGGAAAATCCCACAGAAGGGAGAACCCACTTGGGGTTTGGGTTAGGTCCCCCTAAACTTAAAACAGCAAAATGGGCATTGCCCACAGATTTGGAGCGTGTTCGTAAGCTGAGGAGGGCACTGACTTTTCCTGCCTACCTTATCCATGTTTCCTGGTAAAGTACATGGGACAATCCCATTTGGGGGAAAACCCACTTAGGGTTAGGGTTAGGTCACCATGAACTCGTACAGCTAAATGGACATTGCCAACAGATTTGGAACACATTGGTATGTCAATGGTTTCAGAGTGCGTCAGTATGTTTAGGAGGATGCTGACTTCTCCTACCTGCTTTATCGACACTTCCTGGTAATATACATGGAAAATCCCACTGGGGGGAAAACCCACTTAGGGTTAGGGTTATCTCCCCATGAACTCATACAGCAAAATAGACATCTCTTTTCCATTGACTCTGCTCATTTTACTGAGCCTTGCAGGAACTGAAGTAAACATCCTACATGGCCTATGTTTCTCCTCAAGCCCCCCTTCCAAAAAAACCCATCCTAAGGCCAAATTTAGTTTCTAGTGCATCAGAAACTAAACCAGTACAGCCGAAAGGGACAATTCCTTATATATATGGGACAGGCTCAGGAGGAAGGCAAAATGAAATACAGGTAATTGCATTTTGAAAAGATTTTTCAGATAGTTGCATCAACCTATTTGTACAGTAGAAGATATAATATAGGGACTCTTGCTGGGCAAATAGAGAGTATCCATTTCATTTTGCCTTAATACAAAATGCCTATTTATGCCATAAAATGATTGATTATTAGGAACAGGTACTTGCATTGTTTCTCACCATTTTCTTTCACAATGAATGTTCAACTTCAACAAGAGTTTTCTTTTACACTCTTGCATACGCTGTTTAAAAGAGCAATACAAATGCTAGTTAACTGAATCGAAATATTTTCATTAGAACTAGCAATGCTAACCAAACTGAAATGCCAGCAATACAAGACTGCAAAATCTAGAATTTTAGTCTAGTTCACAATTGTCTTCTGAGATGTGCAATTTGTTTTTTCCTCATTTGTAATATACAGTAAATGGGAAAAGAATTGAAAAATGCATAATATTTTTTTGGAGTAGAGGGCAAATTTAAGAAACCAAATGGCCTTATGTCTTGCAATATCAGATTTTTACATACTGATACCATCTCAGAAAAACAAAGCTAGTTATGGAGGTTTCTGTATGCTGCAATAAACAATTCAGATTTTGGATGATGAAGAATATAACACATTATAATATGGCCTTAAGAGTAAATCAGACCATTGAACCATTTACCCTACATTTTTGTACATATTATTTTTGCACCTATCATTATTCCCACGCATGATCAACAACTTTGCAGTTCTGAGGACTCTACTCCCAACATATCTAAAGAACAAAAGCTGAGTAAGATAGAAAAGGGAAATCTCTGGACATTGCTGAATATTCCCAGTATCTTTCAACACTGACCATGACTTCCAGAGCTTCTAAAAACTGCAGTTGAACAATTATGTCCACTGTTGATTGGGAATTTCTCAAAATATTAGCACCCCAGACTTACTAGAACTTCAACATTTAATTTGGGATGTTGGGATGCAAACTATGTATTTTACTACTGGGCTAAAGGGATAAATTTATCCCAGATCTCATGTGTCCCTCTAATGTTAATGGAAAAAGCCATGTCAACTTATGTAAGAATTGCAATAATTATTAATGCAAATAGCCCAAACTCTTATTTAGAGATGATAGCAATTGAGAATATTATCTGAGCTGTTAAAACCAAGCAATGAAATAGTTGTAGAGGCCAGACAGAATTGGGGATGAAGACTTGTTTCTTAGTAATTACTTATGGGGTAAATTATGAGGAAGGGTGGGTAGTAGTTGGAAGACCTTAAGATAGCTCAGAGAGCTGTCAATCTGGGGAACTCCTTAGGTCACCCAAAGAGCCTTCTCCCCTTTCACACTTCTACCACGTTAGCTCTTTTAGGTCATCTGATACAATCAAATAAGTCAGACTAGTTCACAAGTGATCATTGCTGTGGAATTTGAAAGAGTCACTTATATACCAACATCATATAGTTCCCGGGAAAGGAGACTTGATACCAACTTGTAGGGGAAGTGGGAGTGGGGGGGAACTCGTTGTAGGGCAATGACCCATTGGCTATTCCTAATAGAAAACTTTTTAGCCTTTCTTGTTCATGCACCTGGCAAAGAGGGATTTTAATTTTTAAAAAGCCAGCATATTTAGTCTTAGCAACTATCTAGATTGTTTTGATACATATTGAAGGGCAGTGTTAAACATCTTTCAGTCTCATTAGAGTTGTGACTTGGATTTTTGTGGAGTTGGTATAATCACCCTTATTTAAAAGCTCTGCAGAAAAGGATAGCAGCAACTAACGGTCCGGACGCCCCTCCCTCCCCCCAGCCTTGTCCCATTTACCATCGCAGCTGCCTGAATCATCATTCCTTGTTATTAGGAATATTGGGAACAACAGATAATGGCAGCAGTAGGGACAAGGTTTGGGTATCAAGAAAACCATCGCTTTCCCCCCCTTTGCCTTTGCCTTGAGCAGCTGGGGCCAGCCCTAGATCCTGGCCCACCAGACTATGGACATTATATAACCCTAGGAAAGAGACTTTCTCCTATGTGGTCCGCTGATTCTCTCTGGGACTTCAAGGGGAATAAGACTGAACAATTCTTGCTTATAAACATCAGGCATTTTTGCCTCCCCTTTATTACACACGACTGCCTTGTATATTATCGAACTTTGACCTTCCGGCTGTGGACTTTTCTTTG